ACACACACACACACACACACACAGTCAGATCATCTACAGACACACATCAACATTGTGACCAGTTGACTGTAAATTATCTCTTATATGTTCTTAATACCTCAGTATCTGCAGCTGACAGTTTGAACTCTTCAGTCCATCAGAAATAAACTTTACACCAGAGTCCTGCAGCTCATTGTTATTCAGATCCAGCTCTCTCAGGACAGAGTTTGAGGATTGTAGAGCTGATGACACCATTTCACAATGCTGATCTGAGAGATTACAGCCAGAAAATCTAGAAGAGATAAATAATAATAATAAAGACATGTAAAGAGGGTTGCTCAGGAACATGGGATGACATGATCTGAACACTGAATCACAATAAGAAGAGCTCCTGACTGTTTCTTCAGCTAATGAATATGTAAATGTAGCTAAATGTAGCACAGTTTTCTGAGACTGTGTTTCTCCGCTGCTAAAGAGCCAGTGATGTTGAAGCAGGTGTTGATCATCTTCTGCAGAGGCGGGCTTTCATCGCACTGTGACGTCATAAAGCCTGTCGTTTTGGATGTTTTATAGTACAGTGACCAGCAATACCGGCTCTATATCAGCATGGCTGTGATTAGGCCAGAAGCAATCATAGCCGCTGATCACAGCTCCCTTTAATCAACACAAAATAGGTGTCATTTGAAAGCTTGGAGTCTGACCTTTACAATGCATGGCTAAGAGAAGGGCTACCTTGGTTCCAAAATGCTGTAACTTTTGATTACTTCATGATATCACCACAAAATTTATTTCACATACAGCACACATGTTGGGGAACATCACCAAAAAATAATCTTTCTCCTACCTTATTTCTTTCATGAGATATTGAACGTCAAATAAGACAGATATGAAAAATTTCTCTTGACCACACTAATTGTTCTTATATTTTTATTAGCTATTTCTCAGCAGGAGAATGTCCAAATTAAATCTTTTTTTTTTTTTTTAAAGAGAGACGCGCAAGCGCAGGTAGACTATTGTCAGCTCTCTCTGTCTCTCTCTCTTGATTGATCGATCGAATAATTAATTCAAGTAGCTAAATGTTATAATTAAGTAATTCAAATAAGTGTAAGCTTACCACACGGTTTCATTTCATCTCTGTCTGATCTGAAGCGGGCAGAATACTGAGCTAACGAGCCGTAGCTTGGCGTCAATTGGTTTTGGTTTTTAAAATTGTTCAATGCACAGCTAGCCGTGTATTATCTCTTATGCATTCGCTCTTTAGCAGCAGTTTTTACAGCAATATTTAAATGACACCCTGGTCATTCTTGGTGAACCCAAAATGCTCCCACACTATCGACTTCAGTCATTTCTCTGGTGAAATAAAGCTTGGCTGTTTGGTTCCTCTGTCATAGTTCATCTAGTGTGTGTAGTAGCCTCTGTTTCTCTGATAAGCACAGCATTTTAAGATGGTGCACCGCTAGTGTAACTTTGTTTTTGTTTTGTGCAACTAGCAACAGTTCTGTGCAACAGAAACACTCGGTGTAGCGAAGCCTTTACGATTAATTAACCGTGACGTTTTAAAGCGTCCCTACTGCGTGCCTGTAAATTATGACCTTTTACTCGTTCCTTAATTTATTTTAGTTGATTCACTGGACTGAATAAATACAGTGCTTTCATGTTTTAACTCATACAAAGGAACGATTTAATGAAAAAAGTGATCAACATTTTTTTAATTCATGGAGATTATATTTTGTTGTCATGTCATGAGCAGGGCTGTTTTGTACCAGAATAGACGTGTCAGAAATGGACAGATAACTAATAAGAACATATGTGACCTGCTGAAATGCATCAGCAAATTATTAAATATAAGTTTCAAACCAATTGTGACATTAATTTGATCCTGATGCTGACAGAGTAAATATGTGTCAGAAAACTAGACCTATATCTCTCATAATATTCCCATTCACAGTAATCCACCTTTTCTACTGTTTTATTTATTTTATGGCATAATGCAGATCTCTTTAAATGTATAATAATGTAAAATACTGGCTAGTGCTGTACAGTAAAGAGTAAGCACACTTCAAGCACTGTCTTCACTGTAGTCAAACAGCTGCAACATTAAGCATTTATGATCAATAATTACTGAAGATTTAATGTGATAATGCTATATTAGTATTGCTAATAATATTACCAGTAATGTATGTCATTATGTTATCTTCATTCACAGTGAAATGTCTGAATGTCAGCTTCACTGATCAATGTGTCTTTGCTGCAGCAGCTGCTGATTTAATGAACGAGTTTCACATATGACTGGGTTGTGTTTACCGCGGCGCTAACAGACATTTTACTCCACTATCTACTGTATTAAAAACACCTGTCGTGACTCCTTTAAGATTCTGGCCTGTTATTCAGGAGAAAATCTCTCATTCAGGAACATTTATTTGAAAGGTGTCAGATTCATTATTAAATATGATAGTTTAGTTAATGATGAAACACTCACAGAGCTTTTCTGCAGTTGATCACAGCTGGTATCAGTCTTCTTCTCCCCTCAGCTGATGTGTTGTATTTCATGGTGTTCAGCTCATCCAGCGGCTCCTCTGACATCTGAAGCATGTAGGAGATTGTGGAGCAGTAAACAGGAGAGAGTTTCTCTGAGTGTTTGTCTGATTTCAGAAACTCCTGAATCTCTCTGGACAGAGTCTGATCTTTCACTTCCAGCAGACAGAGGAACAGATTGATGGATTCACCAGCTGAGATAGAAGGATGTATAAAATAATCACCAACATCATCATTTTTGATCGTCTCTTTAATGTACTGTGTGGTTTCTCTGATGGTCTCTGAGCTGTTCTGTGTGTGTGTCAGTAGATCCTGTAAGAGTCTCTGATTGGACTCCAGTGAGACGCCCAGCAGGAACCGCAGGAACAGATCCAGGTGTCCATTCTCACTCTCAAGGGCTTTATCTACTGCTGATGTTAATAGATCATACAGAGAGACTTTATCAAAACCGTAAGGTCTGAATTCATGCAGTGGCTCCATGTTATTTGTTAAATAGCAGTAAAACAGATAGAAAGCAGCGAGAAACTCCTGAACGCTCAGATGAATGAAGCTGAAGACTTTCCTCTGATGAATCACAGATTCCTGCTTAAAGATCTCAGTGCAAATTCCAGAATACACAGAGATGTCAGTGATGTCTATACCGCTCTCAATCAGGTCCTCCTCATAGAACATCACATTGCCCTTCATCAGCTGTTTGAAAGCCACTTCAGCAAGTTTCACAAGCTCTCCATCTGCTCTGCTGAAATATCACAAGAACAACAGATTAAACATATCTGAAAATAAAGGATGTGTAAATTAACATCTAATTCAATAGAGATTTCAGTCTTGTCTGTTAAGGAGCACAAGTGTGAGTAAAACAAGCTCCTGCAGGTCCTTACAGAGTCTTAAACATTTAAACTGCAGAACAAACATCATCATTATTACGTGTTAAATTTGGAGACTGAAAAGCCGGAATCACGATTCAGTCTAAAGCAGTGTTTCTCAACTGGTGGGTCAGGACCCAAAAGACACTGCATCCTCAGAAAAGCAAACTATCCTGTCCTGCCAGATGTTATACCATGCTCGTAGCGCACACTCTTCTATTGCACGCGCGAACGTTGCGCCGATAAATCACATAACTGGTACTGCGTGTGTTACAGGGTTAATTTCGTTGACAAATCATTTTCGTCATAATTTGTCAACGACATTTTTTTCACCAACAAGACGATAACGAACTAAAACTCTTTTTGAATGACAAAAACTACGATGTACGATTGAGGGACGATTTGGAAAGAGATTAATTCAGAATGAATCTGCTGCGTGGTTTGGAGGTTAGATGCGTACATGAACCGGCGGGACATAAGCTAACATACACTTGCTGCACATCTCATAAAACGTTAAAAAATGTCAATATGTGGGAGTAAGAGAAGAGCAGACATATGGATAAATCTGACGATGCAAGAGAGAACTCAACTCGGTCTGGTTTTCTGAGCGCAGACACTGATGCACACACACACAGAAAGCGCCTCTCACAGCGAGCGAGTACTCTTTCGCATCGCATGAACGGAGAATTACACACGTGTATCAGTACATTGCATCCATTGCAGCTGTGCATTGGGTTTTATTATTTTGTTTAGTTCAGAATCGTGGGAGAATCGTGATCTCTATTAGAGACAAAAAAAATCGTGATTCTCAATTTATCTAGTGCACACTGAACCTGTGTTGGAGCTCTTAATGTTGAACTCTCATAGTGCACCAGATAGATACATTTAACTTTAAAATCTACACAATTTTCTTAAGGGGGGGCATGTCCCCGGACCCCCCTAGAGGGACCGAGTCCACCCACCACAGTCTCACAAACTCCTGTGGGACACACTGAGAAAGCAGTAGTTGTGTGTCTCACCTGGGGTCAGAGGTCACTGCTTCATCACTGAATTTAGGAGGATTATACAGCATCTTCCTCCTCCTGAAGATCCTGAGAAACACAGAGAAATCATTCTTCCTTCAGTTCTGTCTGCTGTTTCATTTATTATAAGCAGAGCTGCAACAATAACTGATAGAATGGATAATAAAATACTGGTCAGTGAGTGTGATTATGGATTAGTGGCGTCTGAACGCTGTGCACAGAAACATCCGTCAGTCACATCACTTTATTTCAGTGAATAACACACTTCTGGAGAAACACATGGAAAACAGCTGCTGTGGGAAAGATGCAGGAGCAAGTCGTCTGAAACACCAGAGTGCTTTATATTCAGCTCTTCTGACGAAAGCACAAGCGTTTACTGCGGTTTGTGCTGTTCTTCTCTGTGAATGTTAGAAAGTATTTCTATTCTGCATGAGCTGAGAAGAAATCTCCATTAAACTGCACAGACGTCAGTGAAGGAGCGCCGGTGAACACATGCAAGTCAAACATGTGACACACAGCAGAACAGCAGCAATAACTCTGACTGAAATATACATTTTACTAGAATATCTCTACATCATCATTTCATGAGGATATTTCATTAGAAATTAAATGTAGGTTTAGAGTGTGTAATGCTATTTTTATTTGAGCAGTAACAGTAACTGTTGGAGCAGCAGAATATAATTAATTACTTTTTCATTTAAAAACATATATAAATTTCAATAACGAGTCATTTTACACATGACTCACAGAAACAATCATCAGATGAATCAGTAAATGCTGGTTATCTGCAGCTGTAATAGTAAGTCAGTGTGTGCTTCACTAACAGTGGAAACAGACTCTTGGTCTGGTTTGTGGATCAGTGTGTGACTCCTGTCTGAATCTGCTGCTGTTCTCAGTCTGTGTTTTCTCTGATTGAACATGTTGAAGCAGCACTTGTCGACTCGTGGAGCATCTGAGAAATGATGAACTGTGATCCAGTGATTGTTCACGCTGGTCAGTGTTTATCAGTGCAGCATCAACTGACCTTAACACTGGATTATATCTCACCTGGGGTCAGAGGTCACTGGATCATCACTGAGGTCAGGAGGAGGACCCATAGATCCGTCACTCTTCAGAGACACACAGCTGTGATCAGCAGATGAAGATCTCTCTCTGCTCTCTCTGCTCTCCATAATCACAAACTGACTTCAGTCCTGCATATGGAAACACAAGAGAACAAATGACACGTAATATAGTGATTATTATTCCAGTGATTGCAGTGAAAACCAATCGTAACGCTGCACACACAATGAGATTGAAGAGAATGTGGAGCTGCAGCAGTTTGTTCTTCTGAATCCATAAAGTGCTGCTTTACTGACTGCAGTGAAGAAGATCTGAAGAGTGCTCCTCATGAGCATCGTCAGTATCTGAGCTCACTGATGCTCTTGTGTCTTACTGAACATATTTGACTTCAGCAGCAGGAGAAAAGCAGGACTCTGTTCAGAGCTTGATGTGTTTCTGCTGCTGTAACGTGACGTCACTCACACACATCAACTAACTGATCATCACATCTGATGAAGATTATATTCAGAGCTGATGCTTCATTGTTGAAGCCACAGTGAGTTTCAATGTATTCACCAAACAACAAGATCATTCAAATATTAACTACAAATCATGTGGTGATTCATATATCATGATCATCACAGCATAACTGGAGAGAGCGAAAGAGAAACTGGACGACAGCTGCTTCAAATATTTAACATTTGAAAAAGTTAAATAATGCACGCTTATGCAAACATATTACTGCAGGTGTTTATTTTATGTTCTCCCCTTCTAAAAGTTTAAAAGTTATCTTGGCATCATCATTTAAATATCACAAACCAGACACTTTAATAAGGGTCTATAGAGTTTTTATTGCAGAAAATACATTTGTGACCCGTGTTGGCAAAATGAGTCACAATCAGCAAATTTGCAAAAAAAATGTTTATTTTCACATAGCTAATAGCTATTACTAGCTGCATAGCTAACTACTACACTAAATAGATAAAGACAATAATTTCAGAAGCACAGAGTGATGTGATTCTGCAACCGAGCCTGGTCCAAACGCAGGATTTAGGTAAGGAAACGGTTATTAATTGTATTGGCTGCAATGCCAAATCATGCATACCTGCTTGCTTTTCTGTTTAATTTAACAGTGTTTTGTGAATGCATATGCTTAAATAACAAATAATTGTAACACTTTACAATAAGGTTCCATTAGTTAATATAAAAACCCCCAAGTCGTGTGTGACTGCCACAAGTTATGAGCTGATGTGAATCTAGAAGCTTCATCTGGAACTGGAACTCTTTCAAAACAGTCATGTTGCAACCCATTCTTCTTGAGTTTCAACAGCTTTTTAAGTCATGCATTATTACTACATTTTTTTGTTTTGTTTATAACAGGACCCCATAACTTTGTACATGTTCAAGGTGTAAAGCTTTATGCATTGTTGAATGTTCTTGTTATTGTTCTGGTTTTATGTCAGAATTAAAACATTCAAAACAAGTCAGTTGTTACAGTTGCTGTATACGATTTATTAAAGTTTTCTGAATACTTTGGGAATAAAATGTCCATGAAATGACCTGACCATGATTAATTGCAATGTGCCTGTAACATGAAATATTAATTTTGATGTAGCACAGTTGAATATATGTCTCTCGCGTAGGTCTGAGATTGTCTTGATACCAGTTTGACCCTGTGCTAGAAGTCCATCAGTATTTAAACCTGGTATAGCGTCTCATTTAGAGTCTTTGGCATTCTTTAAAGTAAATGTTATGCCTGAATGATAATTGTATCAGTGTAATACATCATGTGAAAAGTCAATTAATCAAATGTTTAAGATCCAGTCTTTCACGATCTCTCTCTGTCAGGACGTGCCAGGTTTTGGTCTGATATTCAAAGCAGTTAACACCTTGGCATGTTAACTCTTATATTTTTACAAGAGATGCAGATACAGAAAGAGCAGAAAGCATGAGATAAAGTGATAAAATAACTGAATAATCTTTGTTGCATTCTTCTTTATGATCAGTCTTTGTCTGATCAGCATAAATCCCACAACTGTTACCAAGCAAACACAACTGCTGCTCGTCTTGATGTAAAAATCTTTGAGATTACAATACACAACACAACACAGGAATAACATTAACAATGGTTAATCACAGTAATATAATATGAAAAGTACATGAATGTTGATTACATTAAGAAATTAATACATAAGGTGTGTACATGAAAGAGATAAAGATTGTGAATGAAGACGTCTGTAACTGTTATCCAGATGTTGTGCCAAAGTGTTTAAATCCTGAAAAATCAAGGACAACAATTAGTGTGTATTAACTGAACACTGCATCCTGTTGCACAAATGGTAAGTACAAACATCCCATTGTTCATACACTGAACAAAAACAGGGCAATGAGTATAATCCCTTTCTTCATTTTGGCCAGACATTGTGGCTAACACAAGACAGCTGCATTTTTGGGAACACTATGTATTCATAGCAGCCTCTGGCTTACATTATTCACATTTTTGAGTGTCTAAACGACCAATTTTACTTCCAAGTTTTAAGTAAACATGCACAAATAAAACGATAAACCTTTACTTGGCTCGTTAACTGAAATAAAACGATCAACTGCACATACCTGCTGAATCATAACTTGAACGGTGGTCTCGCGCTGATGACGTCAGCATCCAGGTAGGCACGAGATTCATACGCCCACAGTGGGTTATGATTGGTCGACAGACAGCTCAAATCTGATTGGCTAAAGAGTACGAGTGTCCCGCGTGGGAGGCGTTCACTGCCAGAAAGGTCTCAAAATTCACACAAATCCAGAGCGATTCACATTCACAGCCCATGATAAACTCCTGAATTTTTAACATTACATCTTTCTTTGTGTATTTTAGACTGTAATGAATCCATAAATTAATCTCAGCTAAAAGCAGAATCCATAGAGCTCGATATCATTCCTGAAGATGAACTTGTTCATTTCTACATGCGTCACGACTCTTTAAAATGGTTTAACAGCGAAAACAGCTCAAACAATAATACAACATCATATCAGAAGACGATAAATGAACTTACTGTAATGCGATGTTTATGGCCGCTTCGATATTCGTCTTATTATTTAGGATTTAATGGCGATCTTCTAAATGCGCGTCTCTTTGCTGAGTTTACTTTCGGTTTGGACACAAAGCCAGAGGACGAGCAGCCCTGGAGTGAAAGTGCGCATGCGCAGCAGAGTGACCGCGCTGTCCAATCACTGAAGCTTCGAATCTTTTGTGAATCATTTGTTTCGAATCACTGAAGCTTCGAATCTTTTGTGAATCATTTGTTTCGAAACACTGGTTCGAGCGCGTATCAAACTGCCAAAGTCACGTGATTTCTGCAATACTAAGCTCTTTCTCACATATGTTAAAAATAAGAGAAAACTATCTGGCATCAGTGTTTAATCAAGTTATTTGGCTTCAGGATTAGAGTAATTAGCCCCTGTCTAAGAGAAGGAGGTCCTTTATAGATGCATTAAACAGCTCAAACAAAAGGGGGAAGCACATCTCTGAAAGTTTGAATAAATTCATTCATAAGACCATCATTACCATGAGATGTGTTGTCCTTGAGTTTCTTAATATTGTCACTAATTTCAGCAATACTAAGCTCTTTCTCACAAATACATCATTAACAAAAGGTAGTATTCTATCTATAAGTTTCAAAACAGTCAGTCCACAGTAAAATGCACACAGCCTGCATAAAGTAGCTGTGATTTTTAACAAACCGTTGTGACTTCCGTAAAAAATAAAACTCCAGAAAGGTGTAAAATATGTGACCTTTAAAGAAAAGTATATAATGTAATCCATATGATCAGGGTGGTTTGAATGTTGTGGATTTTACGACTTTGAATAACACTTTTAAAATCAATTGGTTGAAAGCTTTGATTAACAATAGTTCCTCTATATGGAATATTGTATTGGATCATCTTGGTGGTATTCTTGTTTTCTTGGATGTAGCTTTGATGTCAATAAAACTCCTCTTGATCTGATTTTCACAGCAGCTCTTCTGACGTGCTGCTGGGCTTTAAGCATAACTTCTCTCTTCACTCATTTTTATTTGGAATAACACGAATATCACTCGCCAGAAAAACACTTTCAATCTGATATATTAGTAGTTGGTCAGTTATTGAATTCTGACGGTCAGCTTCTGAGTATTATTGAAATGTGTATATTTCTGCTAAATATTATTCTATTTCTGTAAAAAGTCTGTCTCTGTTCAGAAATCCCGGCTCTTAGTGTAACACAGCAGGAAGGAAAGTTTCAAAGCATTTATTTTTAGATAAATTAGATTTGCTTCATGATAACTGCAGTAAGCAGCTGATCAGATCTCTTTTTGTTAATATCTCTCCTGCATCTAAATTTGTTTGGCTTCATATGTTTCCTTCATTTGGGAATATATCCTGCTAAAGAAACCTTCGAGCGCTTCGTCTGATATAGATTACAGCTGCTCTTTCTGTAATTGTAGAAAAGAGTCTATCTGCTTTTATTCTGTTATTCTGTTCTATATATGTGTTATTCTGTTTTATTATCGAGTCTCTGTTCATCTTTGTTTTGCATCTTTGAGTTCAAATGAACTGCATCCTAGTCTTAAATGTGTCATCTGTTTTACTTCATTCAGATGAACATGACTTTTCTAAAAGGAAAATATGTATTATTGATCTGTGTTTGCTATTAGGAGAATGTTATATTCATCAAACTAAATGGAGTAACTTTAAACCCAATGTTGCTCATTTTCAAACAGCCTTTAAAGCTTATTTAGAGTCTATAAAGTCTTTAAAACATAGTAAAGCCCAAAGAACTGTGTCTCTGCTTAATGAATTTAACATATGCTCGTGATGCCCTTTTATTTATTTATTTTCTTTTATTTATTTATTTTTTTTTTCATTTATTTTTTTTTTATTAAAATTGTTTCAATTTGTACTTACAAAATATGTAAATATGACAAATATGTCAAGAACTTGCTATTGAATTTTGTAATTTTGAAAGTTAAATTTTAAAAAATAAAATGAAAAATAAAGAATGTTATGTTATATATATATATATATATATATACAAGCTCTCCATAAAACAAACAAAGCAAGCCCTGCAAATTAATATAAAATATTTTAAAAACCACATATTATACAGACACTTAATATTTAATGGTATTTTATTATTTGTATTGCATTACATGTATCATAATTTCAAAAAGACATTTGCAATGGGTTTGTAAAAGCTGTTTTATGCGTGTTTTAGCCTGAGTTTTGTTGTATTTACACACTCTTGAGCAGCAGGCGTATATAGTCAGTATATAGCCTAATACTTTCAACCCATTTTTATCTGTGTCCTATTTCTCATCTCTGTTTTTCCAGTATGTATCTATATTGCAGTTAACTGGGTGTTTTCATTTATTTGTATTTTTCAGGAGGGAGCTCTATTTTGTCATGTGTTTAAATGTTAGATTTGAAGTCACCTCAAAAGGCAGCTCATTTAAAAGCAGATAAGGTATCTTACCGTGAGGTGTGAGCAGGGACACGCACAGATATTTTGAGGGGCAGGGGCTCAAGTGGAATAAAGGGCACTTCTCGTATTCATTTAACATTTTTTTTCTAAACAAAACGTTAAATATATTAGGGGTGTGCGATATTGACAAAAAAATATATCTCAATATTTTCTGGGATTTTATCAATAACAATAATTAGACGATATTTTGCTGAGTGTGTTATTGTGTTGATATCTTAAAGACTACCGTGGACAGCTGACTCCTGAAGATTTTGATATTCTTCATATTCTGTGGTGATCCGTTCACAGCAGTGATAGAAATTAATCTTTTCCAATACGTTTAAATTGATTTTTACCTTTTACGGGCATTTTTACCTTTATAAAGCCTTTTATTCTAAAAGTGTGCATCATCTTTTGAGTCAAATTCTTACATTTAATCAGTCAATTAGAATAATAAGTAATCTGGGCTGTTACCAAGCAAATGAAATCAGTATTGACAAAACTGATCTTTGCAATGCAGAGAAAACACAGAAGCTGCATTAGAAGGGCATTTAGATGCATTTACACACTGTTTAATGCAGGACATGAATGCATTTAACCTGCATTAATACTGTTTTGATATTTTAAACATACAACGTTGAATACTGATATTTGAAATTATAAAAAAAAAAATAAAATAAAAAAAAAAAGTACCTTAAATGTGAAATGAAAACCGCCAGTAGGTGGCAGCAAGTCACTGTTAATAAGAGAATCATTTAAACACTTGATTCATTCAGGAACAAAACAGCATCATGTTGCTCAGAGACGCAAATTGAAATTATATTTGTTGACGAAATAGAGCAAAAACAGTCAATATTGTGTCTAAAACGTGAGTGTCTTAATATTAAATTCTTGTTTATTGAACTGCTGTATAAAGTCTTCGTGTGATAATGATTAACTATATGAAATGATATAAATATATACATTTCTGCAATTTTGTGAATTTTGTGATCATTCTAAATGCATTTTAATAAACTGAATCATGCAGTGACAGAACGCGCTCTGGTCTAACCTACTGGACTTTTTGAAATTTGCCTTTTGTCTTTGGGGTAATTAGCTGTAAATGTGTGTTCAGTGTGTGCTACATTGCTGCGCTGCAGAGACGCAGAGGGAGACAGGCATTTCCTGATACAACCTGATGTTTTGGTTTTTTATTTGTTTGACAGAGAAAGCTGTGCATAAACAAACACACACACACACACACATATATACATATATTCATTTATAAAAAACCTCCCCAGAAAAAAGGGCACTTTCTCTCAAGGGGGAAAAAGGGCCGGTGCTCAAGCCCTCTTTGAGGCCTATGTGTGCACGTGCCTGAATAATATCAACATGAAATAATATCAAACGTCTACATTCACTATTATCCAGTCTCCGCTGTAGCTCCCATGACCTAAACTCCCAGAATGCATTGCCGCTGTGACGACACGTTCCCGTTCTCCATCAGCCTTTTTCTTCAACGCAGAAGTAAGCCTATAGGGCTGAGACTTCCAGTTCATTAGCCGCTGTGGGGAAATAACCAGGAGAATAACAACCTGCAGTAAACGGTAAAACTGTTTGCACTACAAACCAGTGTGTTCATAATTAAGATAATACATTCAAATAATATGATAAGACACACCACTTTTCAATATCAAGCAGCAAAACGAACTGTTTCGTACAGCTAGAAATAGCTGGACGCAGATGAGACCGGAAGCCAGACACATAGAATTTACAAGAGCCATGACCGCAATTACGACAAGAAAAATAGGATAGGAGGAGAAAAGAAAATGTAGGGGACGAGGTCAAAGGTGATTTGTTGCTGATGAAATATAAAGCACTATAGTTGAGCATGTTCTTGTGCATGGACTGATCCTGAGCAAAGCTGGCCTGCAGCTCATCTACAGGGTTTTACACTACTAACACATTACACTTACAGTAGCAGAACTTCAGATGAGAGGACTTTCACTGTTCTTTGTACTGTAAATACTGCAGCACACAGTCTCAAACTCATAACTGTTGAACTGATTTGTAGCCAAGTACTTCTCACATGTACTGTATTTGTGCAGAACTGAGAGACGACTGTCTAGGGGACGCAGAGAAACTGTTATAGTATAACCAATGAGGATATTACCATTACTGTAATGCAACTTGGCAGAGGGTGCTTCATTTCTTTCTTTATTTACAGTAACTGGCAGTGTAATAACTGACTTCTTGTGCTTTTCATCTGTAAGATCTCTTTACAGTAGTGTAATGAAAGCAAACTTTTCTAACAGTTGTCTTTTTCGATTGCTAACATCCCTTTGTCTAATCTTTCAAAACTCTAAACACAATTAGCACAACATCCGTCTGTTGTGACCATATTAACACAATCCATGTTGTTTTCACACAATACAGTCAGTTACCATGTTCCTAAAATGCTTACATTTTCTTTTCATACAAGCTTACCAAAAAACCAAAATCATGGATGTTTTTAGTCTTATTTACAAATGAACACAGCATGTCAGAAATGAAGACCTAATGTTCCCGAACCTTAAATACAGTAGCTTCTACTTCTGCTACAACAGCTTTTGAAAAAAGCTCTCTCTATATAAAATGTTGTAACAACTGATAAGCATTTTTAAGCAACAGATCACTTAATGAAATGTTTAGAAATAGCTGATTCCAGTCTCAGTTTGAGGAATAGTCTGGTGTTGAAGCTCTTTCCATTACATCAGCAACAGAGTAAAACACAAAGAACAGCACAAAGAATCCGAGAGAGAGAGAAAATAGTGCCTGGCTGAATCAGAAAAAGT